CCCTTTCTCTGTCTTAAATAACCTCAAATTTTTTTAGATAAAAAAATCAAGAAGTTTCTGAGATATTCATTTTTTTCGGCCTGAAACACTTTTTTTTCAAAGAAAAATTCTACTTAAAAAAATTATCGTACAGAATTCTGCCGGTAATCATTTTTTTCGTTTTGACAAATACTTTTTGGTGAAATAAGAAAATTTGTAGTCACAGCTCAAAAACATGCTCAAAAATGCAAAAAAGTAAAAAATTACTTCCAACAATGAATTTTTCAGTTATTGTTGATAATTTGTTTAAATCAAAAAACATTCAAAAACTGATTACACCATTCAATTCTACGGAAAAAAAATAAAAAAAAACTGTCTCATTGTTTGACCCAAAACTATTTTTATACAGTATTGCTATAAACATAAGTCGAATAGTGAATAAATAAAATAAATAATATTTTTTTTTTCCGTAGGATCGATTAGTGTACTTATTTTCATAGTTCATAGATATACAGTCTGTCCAAGATAAAGATGGGATAGCATTAGGATCTAGGAAGCGGTAAAAAATACGGGGTGTCTCAGATTAGAAAAAAGTTGTGTTTTTTATACCTAACAATATGCTGTTTAGAAAGTTGTAGAATTCCGGGTAGTTCCGGAGATATCCGGAAAAACCTGAAAGTTTGCTAAATTGTTTAATTTTTCTGGCTTTATTTGAAAACGAATTTTAAAATAAATTACATATTTACAATGCCACTTTTTTCGCTCTATATAATGGCGTCAACATTTTTGCAATCCGACGTTTCGTCTTCGAGGGGCCATCATCGGATTAATTTTTTTAAATACGTCGCTGCTATTTTTATGACAAAATCTAGTCATTGTTAATTTTGGAATTAGAGGATATTACTATTGTAATCGCTTAAAAAGTTTTTAGCTTGTTTTAGCTATAATTTAAAATTTTTCCTGTGTACGGCTCTGAACGCTTTCAAAATATCTATTGCATGAAATCATAACAGTATAAAAGTCAATACCGTCCAAAATATCCAACAATTTTTTACTACTGTTAGCAATACTAATTAGAAATAATAAAATATTGCATAAATTCGTATTATTTTTTTATTAGGTACAACTTTTTAAATTATGGATTAAAAAAATTGTTGGATATTTTGTGCTGTATTGACTTTTATTCTCTCCTCTCTCTCTCTCTCTCTCTTTCCTCCAATAGATACAGGTATTTTGAAAGCGTTCAGAGCCGTACTCAGGAAAAATTTTTAATGATGGCTAAAAACCTTTTTAAGCGATTACAATAGTAATATCATCTAATACAGAATTAAAAGTGACTAGATTTTGTCATAAAAATTGCAGTGGTATATTTAAAAAAATTAATCTGATGATGGCCCGTCGAAGACGAAACGTGGGAATATAAAAATGTTGACGTCATCGGATAGAGTGAAAAAAGTGGCAATGTATATATGCAATTTATTTAAAATTCGTTTTCAAATAAAGCCAGAAAAAAAATTAAACGATTTTACAAAATTTCGGGTTTTCGGATTTCGCGTCAACAGTAGGCTGCAGTTAATACTTTATATTGCTGAAATCTCAAATCATCCTGAAATAATTTATTATTTGTGCATTTGTAATTCGACTTAGATGTTTATAGCAATACTGTATAAAAATAGTTTTGGGTCAAACAATGAGACAGTTTTTTTTTATTTTTTTTCCGTAGAATTGAATGGTGTAATCAGTTTTTGAATGTTTTTTAATTTAAACAAATTATCAAGCAATAACTGAAAAATTTATTGTTGCAAGTCATTTTTTATTTTTTGCATTTTTGAGCATGTTTTTGAAATGTTATTACAAATTTTTTATTTCAGCAAAAAGTATATGTCGAAAAGAAAAAAATGATTACCGGCAGAATTCTGTACGATGATTTTTTTAAGTAGAATTTTTCTTTGAAAAAAAAGTGTTTCAGACCGAAAAAAATGAATATCTCAGAAACTTCTTGATTTTTTTATCTAAAAATATTTGAGGTTATTTAAGATAGAGAAATGTATACTTTCACGAAGTTTCATCAAAATTAAATTATTTTTGCGGAAATGAGAAATATAAAACGAAAAATCATAAAAAAAACTTGTTTTTCGCATTTTTCTCGGAAATTTTGAGGTTATGTTAAAAGGTGACATCTACAAAAGTTTTAGATTTTTGCATAATCTACAACTTTTGTAGTGGATACTTTTTTGTTTGACGTCAACTTTCGCCAGAAATCCTAATGATACAATTTTTCATAACTTTTTGACCCCCAAATCAACCCTGCGCCGCCCCTGCTCACGCATTTATTTTTTTAGGTTTATTATAATCCTTTTTACCATTTCCACTTATAAAAGTCCAGGTAACAATTTTTTTTTTCTCCAAGTGTAATTTGGTTGGACTATTATATCACGAAACGAATTGGGTTTTATTTTAACCAGACTACGGAATGTTATCCAATTTAAATCTGTTTTTTTCGATTTTTGTATGAATTCGCTTCTAATGTATTGACCCTTTACTTACCGAACATGTGTCCTTAATGGCAGTGGAAGATCCTGCGCAAATCATTGACTTAGACATAACCCCCTTCTTTATCTTGGAGAAAGATTTCTTTATGTACTTTTTGTATAAATGGTCGCACTTTTTGACGTCGAAATACTCCAAATAGGCCTTCAGCAGATGATCCTGTCGTTCTACAGAATTCAGGTAGGTGTCTCCCCAACCAGTGATGATAGGCTGGTACATCTGAATATCCTTTTCTAAATTGAGACAAGCAGGTCTGACATGATCGTTGAGGTAGACATGCGTGGATAGTTTCAACAATCCGATATCGTGATATATCAAATCGTTCGTGTATTCAGGATGGGGTATTAGTTTGCTCACATTTACCTCTTGCAAGTGGTTGGTGTCTTTGATGTTGGTTATACCAAGACGTACCATCTTCGCTGAGCCACTGTCATATTTTGAAAGAACGTATCAGATTACTTCACCTATGTGGTTTTAAGCTGCTCTTTAGAACTAACAAAGAAGGATGTGTAAAACACCGTTATAAATAAATCTCAGGGTCAGGCAAAAGTCGCTCGGGAATTCGCTCTTTTTGCATTAAATAGAGCTTAGCAGTTAAATAAATTTACATGAGCTATCGATGTAAAACTTTGAATGACCGGATTAGTATTATTTTCCAAATTTCACATACAGGACCCTTAATACGGCAGGAATACACCAACTGTACCAGCTCTACTCTCTAAATAATTTAAATATTCAATTTTGAAAGAATGAAATTGAATTTTGAATGTTTCATAATAGTGAATTTAATTTAACCATTAGGTATATGAATAAAAGCTAATCTTTCGACAAATAAGCAGTATATACACTTACAATTCAGATTTATGTAAGCAATGGGCTGCAGTTAGAACAAAATTTTCGCTGATCAATGACCCTCCACAGTTCCAAGTTATTGTACCTTTATACTCGTAACCGACAAGAGCCTGAAATGAATTTGGATGGCTCAATGTCCAAACTTTTCTTCTCCAAAAGGACAAGAAGTTAAATTAGCAAAAAGATGTACCTGGTGATTTTCTATTTTTTTAATGGGATACCCTATACCTGAATTAATTTATTGATTCGTTCAATTCTAAACATTTTTTATATAACGAGTCATATATTCAAAGTTAAGGGTCTTTGAAATATTAACAAATAATAATTAATAAAAAAACTAACTACTGAACTCATATAAAAATTAATGTTCTTAAATAGTGAGCTGATCCACAGGTCCTCCATCTTGCTCGATGCATTTTAGTAATGTTCTTCGAAGTTTGGTCCAAAGATCCCCTTACAAAATCTGAATGGTTTTCATTTCGTTCCTAATTAGTTGCTTTAGATGTTCTATATATTCAGTATAAATTTGGTAAATGCGATTTTTTAAATATTCCCATAGAAACATTGAAGTAAGATCTGGACTGTTGTCTGGCCAGTTAATTGGTGCATTTCTTCTACCAATCCATATGTTAAAACGTTGATTTAAGTGTTTTCCCACTCTTAAGGTGCTATGGCGTGGGGCTCCGTTCTGCTGGAATATAATATGTCCAAAATGCTGCAAAGGTAATTCATCTAGAAGCATTAGTCCGCACCAAACGTTAAGGGACTGGCGTCCTTGAAATCTAGATTCTCTGTAACAGAATGGGTTTTCTATCGTAGAGTTGTCCGTCCATAAGATGTTTCTTAAAAAGTTGGGATCATCACTCATTCTTTCCATCATAAGGCGGTAGAATTCTACACTCTTTTCTCTATGCGTCTGTGTCAATTTTGGAGTGGATCTGTTATTGAAAGGCTTGTAACCAGCTTTCTTAAGAGTCTTCTGAACTTTTGAATAGGACGTATCATGGACATTCCATTCTTGTCCTTCTGTTCTGACTTGTTTGCTGAAATTTTTCAAATATCCTTTGCGCAAAAAAGCAAAAGCTACAGAAATCATTTCACATGCTCACATTTTTTACAAAATTTTATTGCCACAAATAAACAAGTTAAGGTGGGTGGACATTATAGAAAATCAC